ATTTCTGTTATTTAGTTTGTGACATCCTTTACGGGAAACGCCGGCGCAAGGCTGCTCACAGCGCTTGGTCACGTGTCGCACCAGAACCGTTTTCGGAACCGAAACTTAGAAATAGCTCACGGTTCCGGTTATTTTCAAAAAACAGAACCGGTTCTGAATAAGAACCGGTTCTCGGTTCCCAACCCTACATACAGTACAGTAGTGGTCAATATTAATAATAATTTAAAAAAAAAACTTAATTTGTCATACACATAACCATGCGGCCCCTCACTTAGTGTGGAAAACTTGATGTGGCCCTCGAAGTCAAAAAGTTTGCCCACCCCTGGTTTAAACACTGGCAAGAATTAAAAAGAAATGCAATTTATAAACTTTAGTGACGATGCGACACTGTGCAAGTGACAATTTCTGTGTCAACTGTGCAGCTCGCTTATAGTGCAGACGCAATGTGGTGACTTGAAATTATTTCACCCGCGCCGGACAGAGACTGAGACGGTGCCGCTGCATGTCATGCCAAACCTCTCACAGCAGGCACATCATCAGCTTGAGATCGGTTTTTAGAGATTGGCCTTTTTAGAGACCGCCGATCAAACATTCCAACGCGATTATCGGCCGATAGTGATCGGTAGCCGATCAATCGGAGCACCCCTAAAACATTACATTAAAAGACTGCACAGATGTTAACATTAGTGTGTGAATAATAGCTGTCTGCCTGCATAAAGAACACAGCAGGATTGTGTGTTTATCTCTTGTCATTCCCTCATCCACACAGTCAAAGAACAAACTAGAAGGAATGTTTGGTCTGGTAAAATTTGTAAAAAAAATATATATAAATAAATAAATACATAAAAAAAATAATGAATGTTATTGTAGGTTGAGAACTTGTGAGACGCACATTTGCCTTACTTGAATAATCCATCTCAGAATGGATTCACATCTATGATAGCTACAAGTCATCCTATATGAAAGATTTCTTTCCTACAGTGTCACGAGTCTCACGACTGAAAGGTCTGCTTATGTTACGCTGCCACACAATGGAGAAACAATGCATTGCCGTATGAAAATCCTTCAATATATCCTTACTGTTTTTTGCTCTGTTTGATTATGGAAAAGCTTAGTAATACAAAACATATTCCAAGTATATGATATGTTTATGAAAGTGTAAGAATGCATAAAAACACAACAAACTGTTAATACTCACAAGTTGTGTTCTTGCTCAGGAGGGGCTGCAGACTCTGCTCCATTAGTCACCGGAGTGAGAGGAGAAGTGGGTGAGCTAAAGGTCGTAGAGGAGGGACTGGTCAACACAGGACTGCCAGAAACAGGAGAATAAGAGGAATCTGACAGCTGTGGGGAGGCTGTACGCATCACCTCTGAAACACAAAAGGTGCAAGTGAAGTGTGAATGCTATAATCTTTTAACATGGGATCTGAAATGACAATGTGCAGACACTGAATGTGTGAGACAGGCCCTTCAGTGGATAGCACAAGGTACAAGAACAGGGACGGAGAGAGACTGCATTGAAGATACCTGGGGTAGGGCTGTTAGAAGAGACTGATACAGTTGGGGAACCTGGTCGAAAGGAACTATCTGTAAGACTGTGAGAAGATGACCGCCGGCTCCTCCTGCCCTCCTGCTCGCTGGGTGTCAGTTTCCTTCGGTCTTTACGGACATTCGGTGCCCCTTCATCGATCTCACCATCTTCATACTTGAGGGCATTCTACATAATATACAAAACACAGAAATCATTCACTATTTGTAGAGTTACACTACTGTTTAAAAGGTTGGAGTCAGATTTTTTTAATGATTTTGACAGAAGACTCTTAAGCTCACCAAGGCTGCTTTTATTTGATTGCAAATACGGTAAATACAAATGTGTAATATTACAATTTAAAATAACTGTTTTCTATTTTAATATAATTAAACATGTAATTTTAACATGTATTAATGAAGCAGAATAATGAAGAATTTTAGCAGCCATTAGTCTTAAATATCACATGATTCTTCAAAAATCATTCTAATATGCTGTTTTGGTGCTCGAGACATTTCTTATTAATATTAATGTTGAAAACATAATGTTTTTTCAGGATTATTACGGTAAATACAATTGTGTAATATTATTACAATTTAAAATAACTGTTTTCTATTTTAATATAATTAAACATGTAATTTTAACATGTATTAATGAAGCAGAATAATGAAGAATTTTAGCAGCCATTAGTCTTAAATATCACATGATTCTTCAAAAATCATTCTAATATGCTGTTTTGGTGCTCGAGACATTTCTTATTAATATTAATGTTGAAAACATAATGTTTTTTCATGTTTATTTAATTAATAGAAAGTTCAAAAGAACATAATTTATATGAAATAGAAATCTTTTATAACATGATCAAATGTTTTTACTGTCATTGATCAATTTAATTGGTCCTTGCTGAATAAAAGTATTAATTTCTTTATTTAAAAAAAATACATATTGACACCGCATTTTGAACAATAGTGTATATGTCTGAAATATGGAGTGTTTGAGGTGTACTGGGAGTTTACCTCATAAATGATGAACTGCTGTTTAATGTCACCCTCGGTGCCGCTGCTAGTCATACGTTTCTGGACTATGCTTTCCATTCCTAGCTGCTCCAAACAGTCTGTCACATCATAAAATGAGTCCTGATCAGGAAGCGCAGCCAGAGTCTGGGAGGCCAGAGGGATAAATCCATATCAAGGACATTGACGCTTCAGCACTGTGCTGATGTGGATCACGGTTGTAGACTGGTATGTCTAATCTGTGTTTTACCTTGTTGATGAGGGTCATGGTGTAGATGAGCAGCTCTGTGTCTGATCCATTCTTCTCTGACAGGATATCTGTTAGATACGTCCAAGGCTTTACTCCTAAAAGAGGCAAAGTACACCCTAAGCTCCCTTGAAAATAATTTATAAAAAAATATCTGTATTGTGATGATAATGACAGAAAAAAAGAATGAATGGCACATGATGGATTCAGAATATAAGTGTCATGAGAGAATGTTTAAATGTGTTTAACCTCTCTTTCCATCCACAATGGTGACAGCTTGAATAAGCAGTTGACTGTTGGACTCAGTGTATTCCACAAACACTATCAGCAACTTCAGAGCTGTCTTCACAACCAGCCGAGACTGAAGAGAAAGAGAAAGAGAGAAATAGGCTACAAAGAGGCAGTATTTACGGTCCTGTTACAGAAGATGCAGTATCAAACCTCAATAAGGCTCAGTTATAATCTTTTTAATGCATTCAAGTTCTGCACACAATAGTGTATACTGACAAAATAAACATGCATCTTCAACATTAATACAATAACTTACCACTAGTATTTTGTGTTTGTTGTAAATAAAAACAAAGTCTGGTTCAGGTTTTATTTCTGATAGTTACTTGATATTACTCATTCACTCGATTCTCATTTTCACTTCCTCTTTGATATCATGCAGAAGGATATGACCTCAAACTGATGCTCAAGATGACTGAATCCATTACAGTAAAAAGTGTACAAATCTCATGTCAACAGATTCACACTAAGTTTACACAAAGACACTTCCAAAACTATACATACGTATTTTAAATTTGTAAAGATGCAAACTCAACAGAGCAATGGCCCAACTTTGAAATGGTTGCACAACAGCACCAGCCAGTTTATTATAGCCATTTCAATATCAAGTAGTTACTGTAGTAATAAGCATTTCTGTGGAGGATTTGGCAAACCATTCTCCCACAATAGTAATATATTTAACTTTAATAATTAGAAGAGAAGGTTGTGAGTGAAGATCAAAACACTTGATTTTGGTCCAGATTCACACCTACATCTCTGCACTAGCTTGTACTTTTCTGGCCAACCTTATTTTTTTTTCTAATTGTACATTGCCTTAGGATGAACTAACTGTTTTGCTGAACTGCATTTGTTTTGTTTTCTTTCTGTTTTTTAATTTACACATTTGGCAGACACTTTAATCCAAAGCGACTTCAATGTATACAGCAAATCAGTTCATGCATTACCCAAGAATCAAACCCATGACCTTGGTGTTGTGAGCACTATGCTGTAAGTGGCTTTGGATCATTTAGCAGATAAGCATTTGCTCAATGAGTTGATGTACAGTAAAAGTAATCTAGCCCTCAGGAATCAAATGATTATCACATACAATCAACTTTTGAACATTAATCTATTGACTCTTAATTCGGCTGGCATGTTGTGGTATTAAAATGTCAAGGTGCATTAATACACAACCACTGACAGAACATGATCCTAACGTAAATAATACTGTATTGTGGTCAGTGTTTACAGTTGCTGCGGTATGTGTGTGTTGCCGTCACTCACCAGGCTGCCAGTCAGTGTGTACAGCCACTGTACAGTCTCGTTGTGGTTCACAACACCGTTCATTCCATCCACAAACAGCATGATCTGACTGAGAGCTGGGAACAGGACAGCAGAGTTTACTATACAGTGCCGGCATGTTTGCTGGTCTAATTGCTGATCTAATTCTGGTCAGTATAAACTACCGTTACAGATGGCCTATTAGCCAAAAATATGTAATATCCTTTGTGCTATTTGAAGTCTGCATGCAAGATGTGTGGTGTACGTGCATAATAAATACATTATATTAGACTGATTTTAGAAACTCTAGACTGATACATATTCACACATCTTTCAAAGTCATGTCATGTTAATGATTAGTGAAAGAGTCATCAATAACCCTGCTAACGAATAAACATTTTTAATGGAGACATGCACAAAATATTTTGCAGCAGTGCTGCATATGCTCCAGTAAAGACACGGTGTTGAGAACAGACCTCTGAGGATGTAGTTCTGGTAGTTATGATCTGCCTCAGCACCCACTTTAATGAAACACGTCAGACCCTCAGAGATGACAAATTCTGGAACCAAGTCCTTATCATCCTGTGCGATATAAAACCGAATTAAGATCTGCCGCTGTGCACAACTGTAAAAAAAACATTGCAATTTCCACAAAAATATTAAGCAGCACAACTGTTTTTAACATTGCTATTAATAAGAAATCATTAATGAGAAAATAAAAATATTAGAATGATTTCTGAAGGATCATGTGATACTGAAGACTGGAGTAATGACTTATAAAATATTTTCAATGGCCACTCTGCATGCCTAAATATTTAATAAAATTAGTAAAATCTCAGCTTCTGGCATACTATTCTCCAATAGCAAACTGTCGATCATAACTAGTTATATTATAATATAGTATATTATACATACAGTATGATCTATATGTAATGATGAACTATAGCATATCTTATATCATCTATATCTTATTTCATTTTCTTATATTATATTAAAACTTAACATGGGTTCCAGAAGCAATAAATACTATTAATGTAAAGGTAGATTGTATCAGTATTGCTTTGTTCTGTTGTGGGACACTTCCTCAAGACTGAATTTTGTGCTTATTTTTCCCTCACAATTTAGAATAAATTTAGAGCCCAATGTAACAGTACGTGGAAGAGACATCAAGTTTTTGTCAATCATTCTGTTCAGTATATACTTCTCTCTGTCCTGCTCTGACTCTCAGCATCTGTAACATCTCACCGTCCTTATCTAACTCACTCACATATAGCTTTTTCTCTTTTAAAAACTTGTTGTGTGTGTTTTTCAGGATCTTACCTGAAAGAGTTGCTTTAAAGAAAACAAAGACCGCCGAAGCTCAGGACCATGGGAATTATACAACTTCTCTATAAGAAGGAGAAAAGGAGAAAAAAAAGGTTATTCATCAGTCAATAGACAAGGGCATAAATACCTGTATCTAAGAGACAAAAATTGTTATTGCAGTGACACATTCTCAAAGAGCACTTAAACACACACCTTATCAAGATACCTACTGACATAAAGATTAAAGTTCACAGCATGACTGAGTCACAGTCTCCGATTCAGTGTAATTCACTCAGCTAGCTAGATTTTACCAGTACAATTTGTGTGGTAGTAAACACAAGCAAACCATTTGCATTGATAAAAACAAGGTATCATTAAGCACCAGATGTTTGGAATTCTCCAACTAGCTTATCATTCAGAATCAGAGGAAATAAGAGGTGGTGTCACTGACTGCCTGTAAACAGTCATTCCTGTCATATAAATACCTTTCACATATTTTGCCCTTGACTGACAGGTTAGTTATGAACCATTCAACTAAAACCATTTAACACACCTTTAAAACACAGTTTTATTTTCTTGATAAGCATTTAAAATTGTTGTACTGTACCAGTCATAAGACACACCTACTCATTCTTTACCATTTTCCACATTTTAGAGCAACTACATATTCATTAAATCTGTGAAATGACACAAATGGGACATATGGGAATGTTAAGTAGATCAAAACTTATTATATATTTTAGAAAAGCTGTCACTTTTTGTCTACCACTGCATTCTCTCAAACAGCTTCACAAGTCCTTTTCCTTCACAATGTTGTCCAACTCATCCATTAAAAAAAAGGTGTGGAATTAAAATTTTAGTTTTGTAAAGACATTCATAGGTGCAATTCGTGTCATCAAATGCTATTTCAAACGGTTAATAATAAAGATCCATTTATATAAGGTCTTTAACATCATGAGAAACATGCATGTATCCAAATTCTGACTGGTTCTGTATGAAATAAATAACGGAGAAAGAAAGAAAGAAAGAAAGAAAGAAAGAAAGAAAGAGCATCCATCACTAAGGTGGTGTACATGAAGACATTTAAGGGGACATCAGATGCCTATTTTCCACAAGTTGGTGTGATTCTTTAGGGTCTTCATGAAATGTCTGTAACATACTTTGGTTAAAATTCCTCAATGGATGTGTAAAACAACACCCTTTTTACCTTGTCAAAAACAGCCCGTTTTGTTGCATGTCTCTTTAAATGCTAATGAGCTACTGCTCACCCCTCTCTTCCGTGTGGTGTGTCGACACAAGACAAGAGAATTGCTGCCATATTAGGCTACGTTCACACTGCGAGCCTTAGTGCTCAATTCCAATTTTTTTCTCAGATCTGATTTTTTTTGTATAGCTGTTCACATTGTTGTTTTAAATGTGGCCAATATCAGATTTCCAGTGTGAACAGATCATGGTTCTGAACTGACCCGCATGCGCAAAAGAATGATAAGAACAGGGTTTCCAGGTTTTTACAACAAAATCCTTCCAATTGTTTCTCAAAACTAGTCCAAAACTAGCCCAACCATGTTCAGGGAGGTAAACATCACGTTAGTGGGGTCGCGTCAACCCACGAAGTTGAAAAACAACCCGTGGTAACAGTGTAAAAAGTAGCCAAATTCCTGTTCTGGCGCGCTGTCATACGGAAGTAAACATGGAGGACATAAAGTAAGTGATTATGCGTTCTTTAATGATTCAAGCTCTCATGTTTTGCTTGTATATGGAGTTGTCACTATAATACTTATGAGTTCTGACACATTACTGTACTTCCACTGACTACCTTTCGCAACTGTCTTGATAACTTTGAGTATGTAAAATCTTTGAAGTGTCTCCTGTCAGCGCGAAATTATGACGAATGTCGATCTAGAGTGACGTAAAAGTCACATGAATTCCGACATGACTGTTCACACTGCGGTCGCATTTCAAAACATCTGACCCATACCACAGTCAGCGGAAGTGAGAAAAAAGTGTTTATTACGTTTGAAATATGGATATTTATCTTACAAAAATAATCCAGTCATTTAAAAATAACACATTTTAGAGCTGTAACAACAATACCGTGATACTGTGAAACCGTGATATTTTTGCTTAAGGTTATCATACCGTCAAAATCTCATACCGGTCCATGCCTAGCTGGTTAGCCTGTGCTTACTGTGAGAACTGAAAGAAACTGGCATGGCAGACACATGATCTTCCTCAAATAGCTAATGTAAGCTGATGTACTCACGCAACATGTGCTACAAACAGTCTCTCTTATTTTCCATCTGATTCACCATCTACGCCATTTATTTATATGGAAAATTTGCAGAGATGCTTAATAAACAGTCATTTTTCAATGCCTGGGAATAGCATCATTTGTAAACAAGCTTTTGCAATGTTTGCCAATCCAGAGGAACTTTGAACCAAGTCTCAGCAAACAAACAGTGTCTTGGACACACAAAAAAAGCTCTATTAAATTAAAGCTCTATTCTGTGTTAAATGAATTATTATAATATTAATATGTATTACTAAACGTTTAAAACTGTCAACTTTCCAGATGTATATCCCACAATAGCTGGTACACCCTGCGGCATGAATAGTGATTTCAAGAGAACACTGAGATCATCTTGATTCACAAAACCAGACTGGTCATGAACAGTGAATATTTGTACATTATGTGCCCAAGTTAATGTCCCATGAGAACTGAATATCACTGGCCACTGTATCCCTTGATGTAACGTCATGAATCACGTCAAATGAGAAGCTTCTGGCTTTTAGCAAATACATGGGTTTCTAATAATGTTTTGTTTTGGTGATCTGTTTTGACAATGTAAAAACCAAAGGTCTGTCACTATGATGTGTTCTGTTGTAGTTACTATCCCTGTGCATGTGTATATATGTATGTGCACGCACTCAAGTACGCAAAGGAGAAAGAGTGAAATATAGAGATTGCCAAATAAAGGGGTACAGACAGACAGTGTGTGTGTGTGTGTGTGTGTGTTCTGAGCTCAGTGGTAGAGTCCATCACAGCATGGAGAATGATGTGGTCACCCACAGACAGCTGCTTGCTACTGATAATGTTCCACACACACACACACACAAACACACACACACACACACATACACACAGACACACACACGAAGCTCAGTGTCAAAAGAACAGACATTACAGATGGTACCCAAACACACATTTGCTCACACAATCTTTACATTTACAAATGGCATTCATGGCAAACACATGAAAATGTTTTTATGCTGCTGCCTGGAAGGATGTCACAACAAGCAGCCAGGATGTCATATGCCCCACACACACACACACACACACACACTTCATTGCTTGCAAGCATATATGCTTTCAATAAATTATTTTCAACCTCTTATTATACAGGCTAATAGATCTGCCAAGTATTTTACTGTCAGCAAATGCGGTACCATAAACCAGTCTTCTCAGTCTAAAACTGAACATCACAGTGAGGATGAATGTCACCTCAGATTCCCACAGTTGTGTTTATGAGAGAAAAAAGAAGCAAGAAAAGAAGTGAGGGCATGTGGGCAACAGATTATGAAAGAGAGAAAAAAACAGGGATATTCTTAAAGTAGAATATCACCCACAAACATGTAACCACCAAATGATCTGTGAGTAATGTGAAGGGTAAACCAACAGAGACTAGAGCAAACAAACTAACACATAAAAGTGAACTGAGATCTTTTATCCAAACTCACTTGTTACACAAGCAGTCATGTTCACTTCATATCCTACAACATAATCAGTAATGCAAAGCACCCAACTGATTGACATGTTAGTTATGCAGTTTTGATATTCCTGCTTTTCCTAACCACATATACTGTAAGCCCAGTCTACAACAATAGCTACCGTTAGATCACATCATAAAACAGAACTAGGGGAAGCCCCAAACAAAACACATGGAGTTTTTTTTAGGGACTTTTTGCATTTTAGACAACAAACACCGATTGCAAACTGGGTCTTAAGAAAAAAATATATATTTTACCATGTCATTATTAAATTACTGACTATAGAAAGAAAACAGGGCAATGGCACAATTTAATAATTTATACAGTACTGCACCAAACCTTCTTTGAAGGAAAGGATTGTTCTAGGTTCATCTGAGGGTAAGCGAGTGACAAAACCAAATATGACAGAAAGGACACAGAATCCTTGAGAGAAACTGTGACTTGGCACATTCTATACAACACACTGAGTAAGATTATTCACACATGGCCTCTGCCTCTGTTTCTGCATTTACTGCCAATTCAAGACAAGATATTTGACTTTTCTCTAAGGTTAGACAAAAATAAGTGATTTAGTATAGCTGATCTTCACACAGCAGAACCAGTTCAAGAACACTGTTTAGATGAAAGGTTTAGGGTAAAGAAATTACAGTGACAACCATACTGCCCACCATATCAGGATAATAACTGTGTTAAAGTGATAACATCTGATTTAAGCAATTAAATCGAAAGAGCACATATAAAAGCTTTGAGATCAGCACGATGGGAAGAATTCCTCCAGATATGTTTTTATTAGTCAGGCTGCAGTACTGTGACAAAGGGTGCTTCAGAAGTCAAGCCCACTGTATGAAGGCTCCAGCACAGGAAGCCAATATGTGCAGGAAACGGAAATGTGGGAAGAGTGACACAAGGGAAGAGTAACAGACAGCACTCTGAACACAACCGTCTGAAACACAGGGCACTACTACAGTTGGATCACACATTTACAAAGACAATGACATAGACTGAACAACAATCACAGGGTCTGCAATGAAAGCACTAAAGCTGCATTTCACCTCTATATATTCACAAACAAAGGTCCAATCGCGGGTTTAACCCCTGTAAAATTTGCCTAAAAAATTTAAAACGCCTAAAAATAGGCATACCCAAAGTAAATTGCATGCTGTTCTTGAACTATTTGGAGTATAGTTTGTTCCTAAACAGAACAAACCTCAGAATCACAGGAAGTCTTACTGGTATTGAGTAATATAATTCTGAACACACTGAAAAAGGAAAAAAAACATTCCACCTACATTTTTTGCAAACAGATGCCTTCAGA